AAATGATTTGTTTAATTTCATTTCCTTCAAAACTAAATTTGTTGATTGGAAGTGAACTCGAGTTAATCCGTTATTCAGTGAACCACTGAGGATCTTGTAAAATAGTGAAAATTTGTGCGTGCTTACTAAAGGCGTTACCTTTTATCCATTGTTCAAGACAAGTCAAGTCAATGTAGCTTAGTTGATTGGCAGTATTTTTTTCTTGTAGCCTTGGCATTACTTAGCTGCAATGTATCAGCTACGTCGTTGCACGCTGTGGACCATGTTTTAGAGACCATCGGTAACACAGTAACAGTCACGACTCGACTCAAAGGAACATCACCAACCCAAGTCAGGAATTACCTAGTGCGGGAAAACTTACCCAGGATATGTTTGTTGCTTGTGGACGCGGATGAAGTAAACCGTGCCTCTCTTCTTGAAGAACTAGAATACAAAGATCTTTTCAAAACAGTTCTGGATAGAGTTGGTAAGCTGCCCTGGGGGAATTCCTGGGGGTACTCCTGAGAATTCTTGTTGGGGGTGTGCTCAATGCCAGTGCCCGGTTCTTCGAATCCTGGCCCTTTGCCCTTTTTGGCCCTCTAGTTCTGAAATGTTTACATACACAGTGACTTCATTGAATATAAATAATTTTAATAAAAAATGATAAAGCCAATTCCTGTAATAGAAAAAAAAAAAAAAAAACGTGCTAATAACTGAGCGCGCTGTGCCAATCGCAGTTAGGCCTTAGTTCGAAACTGTATCCCTGCAGCGCATGCTCAACAAAAATCTTACTCGATCGATTCATGCAGAGTCTCTCTCAGGAACGCCAAATCACCGCAAGCAAATGAGAGAAATTCTCTGCTAGCAGGGTGACGCTCATCTTATCGGCTCTGAATGGATAAATGGACGATGCCACAAAGAACTTTAATTTGCATGTAATATATCAAAAACGACTCGCACTGTTTTATCCGATACCCATCAGACACCTAGAAGTGGGTTGAAAAACAAGGTGTAGCCGAGATTTTTAAGACCAACTTCAAGTTGTCTGAGCTGGATATCGGATGAAACATTGCATATCGTTTTTTATATAGCTTCTCAAATTAACAATAACTTAATTCTTGGAGAAATTCAAAGATAAAGTTTGCAAAATTTTATGGTAATTAGTATCTGATATCCAAACCACCATCAAGGTTGGGATTTTCTTTGTTTTCTCTTTATGAATTATTAATGATTTGGGAAGCATGAATGAAGTCATCGCTCTCTAGTGGAAGGAAAAGTTGATGTTCGCAATCAGTGTAAATTATCAGACTAATCAAAAAACATTTTCCTTACTTTTTTGCTTGCCTTTGAGTCCAAACAAATAATATTAAACTTTAAATTGTTATGTTCGTCTTTTCTTTATTGCAGCTGAGAAGGTTGTAATTGTGGTCTGTGCTAACTGCCAGTTCTCACAAGAAAATGAGGTCCAACTATTCATTGACGGCGTGGTTGAAAAAAGGGAAAAGGGATTCATTGTGTGGCTAAAAGATGGAGCGCTGTCGGTAGACCCCGAAACTTTGGCACACATTTTGATTCCGGGGCAACTTTCAACTCAGGTATCACCAAAGCGAAGTTGCCCTAAAATGCCAAGGGGTGTTGCTGGCTCTGCTTCTGCCACTATAACGCGTCCAATAAACGTTGATGAAAGGGAAGGATGTCCACCCTTTTCTACGTTAGCTGATCTGCTGGGCAGTGATGTTAGCCTTCATCCAGCACTTGGTATCCAAGCGCATCAAGAAAAGCATTCCTCCTCAAACTCGACTTCGACGGATTCTTACGATTTGGTAGATGAAGCGATAAACCCTGCTGAACAAGGCATCCTGGCAGCTCAAGAACCGGTTTCCACACCTGCTACAAAATCAACGAGAGATACTTGGTCGCAAGAAAACTCAAAAACTATCCTCGACTGGAGAAAACTTGAACATGGTAGGATTAGCGATGTAGTCGTCTTCGAGCAACCCCTGCCATACCTGATGCCAGGCCTTTTCCGTACACGACTAGAACGGCCGGAACCGCAGATTCCGGAGGAGGTTGAACAAAATCTTTTGAAACAATTTGGAACGACACCTAAAGTTGAAGTAAAAGTCGTGTCAAATCAAGGTGTACTAAAGTGGTTCGCTGAGGAAGATTCCCAGGAGGCTAAGGAAATAGCTGAAAATGAGGCTCTTGTGCTAAAAACTGGTGTTCGTTACGGTCAAGTGTCTATGGAGAAAAACGACCTTCAGTTCAGGTATCCAGAATGGACCGTTCCTGAGTGCATTCTCCAAAAAATTGAAAGTGGCCATAGGGACATGCCCAGTGGGGAACTCAATATCATTTCTGACGAGAAAGGAAACTTAAGATTCCATGTATCATATAGCCATGAACAAGAGACATTGGCTGACTTCTTCCCTTACTGTAGAGCATATGGTGGTGTTCCCTTTCCGGGATTTCAGTAGATGACGTGTTGTTATCAGCCGTTTTTAAAATAAACTTGCATGCATCCAAGTGTGCAAGTGGAAAAATCTAGGTCAATTTTGAACACATGGAACTGTTTTTAGTTCATTACATATGTAATGCTCAAAAGGTCTACAGTCGAACCTCCCTATAATGGCCACCTTGGAGACAGAAGAACGTGGCCGTTGTAAAAAGGGGGCCTTTGTAGAGAGGTTTTAAACAAGAGTCAACGTATGGACTTTTAATTTTGTCCACCGGGATGAAAAAAAAAAAAAGGTTCGACTGTACTTATTTCATTGGTATTTATAGTTAACGTAAACAATAGAAAAAATGAGAGCGCGTTCTAGTCTATTTTTCGCCAGAATTGTCTCTATTTTTAGTAATTAAACGCGATATAACTATAAAAATTCAGTGTTGTTGGATACAAGTGCAATTTATATAGTCCCAGTTCTATATATTTGTATCACGTTTTTTCATGATGGTAACGCATATCTTTTCAGTTTGTTTAATATATTTCAAAGTTAAAGGAATGTAACCTTATATAAATATGACCTTTTTAGTGGAAACTCTCAAAGTGTGTTTTTCTGATATTATTACTCAAAATCTCCCATGAATTCTTTTGCATCTACGTTCACTTACACGCTTGCATTTGTACTTCTACGTGTATCTTTGTTTATAGCGACACATTAGGAGACCCTATTAGACACTGCTTTTCTCTTTGATGAAGCAATTCTTGCTGTTGTCTCTTCAACGAAGCAAGTAATGCAAACGTGCCGGTAAAACAAAACGTGTCATGGAAGATACAAAGCCTGCAAAGCCTAAATAGTTACGGTGGCTACGATTACCACAGCCTTATCAAACAAAGATGAGAATTTGTTATGAGCAATGTTAGGCTGACATCGGAGTCGTTATAGCAACAAATGACGTCGTTATCTATTTTTGCTTGTAGCCTTATTTCTCGGCATTGGGAGTTTTCTTCTCCACAATTGCTCACAAACACTTTGCACTTGTTCCTTTAATACCTGCCTCTTAATGCCCACCCATCTCTTTTTTTGTCCTGCTGACTTCTCTTTGCTCGGGCGACCCCACATTCTGACGCCTGGAACAGTTTTTCCCTTTGTCTCTTTCTTTTACCTCGGCACTTCATGCCTCTAATCCTAAGGGTAGTCGTTACAGCCATTCCAGAGTAGACCCAAGCCTCTGTTTCAAAGCGAGGATATAAAGTGCAAAGCCTTTGATAAATGATTTTTGTTATTCTCATGAAAATACAGTGAAACCTCTATTAAGCGGATACTCTTTATTAAGCGGACACTAAGCCGGGTCCCGAAATTAACGTCTTGTATTTCCCTTTATAACGAACCCCTATTCACGGGACACCTCTATTAAGCGGACGCGGACACTAAAATAAATAGTTCTTGGCTAATTTCTATTGATAATAACCTCTATTAAGCGGACACCGGACTGAACTACTAGTACTGGATTACGTCCTTTAAATACGAACTGCAGTCGATTAAGGCGCGGTACCAATTTCGCAGCGCGGCTACGAGCATATGTGGAGGCTCTTCCTGCCAGATTCTTCACATTCCTTTTTGTGCCGTTTTCGTCGCCATATTGAATTTATAATGTAATACATGCGCTTAATATGCGTCATTGCCACGCTATGACGTAATTCATTGCCACGAGGTCAACTGCTTCTCTAAAGCAAAGTTTAACGAGTATCTAGGCTGCTTCTCTTGATTTTGGGCTGCTTCTTTTTTTCTCTAGGTAATTTGTCGTGCAAAATGTTGTTTAAAGGATTCGAGGTAACTTTTTGTCAAAGCCTCAGAACGTTTTGCATCACTGCAAGGACGCGTAGAAACGACATCTTTGGCGTTGAGTTCCTTGGACGAAACTTGTCTCTGTCGAGCTGTCGCTGTTGTCATATTTACAGCAGTAAGCCAACCTTTTATTCTCCAACCAAATGAATCGAGTCATCGTTCTTGTATGCAGTTGTGCGTGACCCATTGTGGTCTTCAACCGCCTGTCACACAGGTTCATCAAAACCTCACACTGTCCGTATCACATTAATTTATTAGGAAATAATGTCACATTTGACAGTAAACCGAAGAAAGTTAGAACGCACTTCCTAATCAGAGATTACCACTAGTAAGGATAAATCAATACATTTAGCTGTCAATAAACTATAGATTAGACTGATACTTGGCCGTATGATTGTCATCCCCCATCAAAATTCACGTAAAAGTTCTTTGCAACTTAATCGCAAACATTGCACAATTTTTACAAACTCTAATATGCGGACAGTTGGGAAGGTCCCGAAGGTCTCCGCTTAATGGAGGTTTCACAAGAAACTAAAGGTCTTGCTTGAATGGAAGAATGTTTGGAACTCGGCAGTTGACACATGATCGCATTACGCTACGTCATCGAAGGCAAACAGATCTTCTGCGTCTTTTCTCGGAAAAGTGACACAGCTTGTTGTTGTCATTCGCCTGTTTAATAGATCAACTTTTCTTAAGCGGAGAACAAGATTCCTTTTGCAAAAAGAAAATATGTCAAGGCGGAAAAAGATCCACCTTTTTAACTGTGATCATCTCTACGAACTCCGTGTTATCGAGGATTTGCTGTACTCCTGCAAACCGAAACTGGGCTTCGATTTCACAGTGGAGAATCACTACTTCTCCTTTTCTGAAATGGCTGAATTGAGAGAAAAAATCGTTCCTGCACTGAAGATTGATTTTGCAGTTTTCGTCGTTCACGCTCAAGAGTCAAGTCTGTCGATAAACGATGGCCGCGGATATACCAAGCTTTACAAAGCTCTATTGCAAGCTACAGGTAAGAAATTGAGACACCTCTTGTAACTACTTTCTGCTGTTGTTGTAATGAATACGCATATTCATCAGTAACAGGTCTTTGTGTTTGGGATTTATGTCGAAAAAATCATGAAAGATGGATTTCAATGTGGCACAGTTTTGTCACGCGCGCGAAATTAACGATAGCACTTGTCACGGTTTACGACACGGTCTATTCAGTAGTATTTTCAGTGTGACTACAAATAAACAACGTTTCAAATGTAAAACCAAAAACCTGTAACTCGACCCTTCACTATAACATAACATTCTAACGCTATACAGGAGAGCTTTTCCCCAGATGGTTAACGAGTGCACGTTGGCGAGCTAACTCGCCAGGCTGAATGGGCAGCACTAAAGTATGGAATCCGGAAACGGAAACGGATTCATGGAAACGGAATATGAGATACGGAATCAAGTATCAGTGACAGAAAATTAAAAAATTTCACATTGCATAATTTAGTATAATCCAAAGAGAATTTGTTTAGTTTTCTTCATTGGCAGTTCCCTTAAGTATATTCTTGTTATCGCGTCTTGATAGGGTTTTCCGTGGTGTGGGTTATTGTACTGCAAACTCTGCAAGGCCGATGAAAGTAATTTTACAAGTAATTTTTATTCACGAGTGTATGGGTTGAATAACACAGTTAAATATTACCTCTTTAGATAAATGTCAAGAGAAGTAGTAGTTGGCCTCAGACCACAGTACGTAATTGTCCCCAAACTGAATACTCAACACGTGACGGACGTGTAGCGTGACCACAATTCCCGTGTTTTAGTTTATCGCCAAGCTGGAATACTGGTGTAATGAGTTTGCGTTGAAGTCCGTATTTTTGTTGAAGAGGCTTATTAAACACGGCGCATTAATTTGCTGTAATCAGTTGCGTAATCAAGCAAATGCATGCACAGTTCTCTCTTCTCTTTGGATTCCACAATTCCATGGTTCTCTTGAGTAAGTTGTCATGATAAATAAAACTGAACACTGTTCAAGACAACCAAGAAAAGACACCCAGGAAAAATTTGACGACGACGCCTTTCAGTTATATAAACGACGCCTCTGTCGATTTAAACCTTTCATTGTCAGAGTGCTTGATAGAGTTTTGTGAGGTGACTCTTACCTTTTGAGTCTGCGAACAAAATCCTATGATGTGACTATTCAAATGAAAGCTCTCTGCCTGTACTTACATATGGTGCTATTTGTTTCAAAATTTGAGAAAATGAAATTGGGACATTTGGTTGAAATTTGCTTTTGGCTAAATTTGGCAGTGAAAGGATTGAACGAAGTCCGTCTCCATATAACTTACCTCTTTCTGAAGCAACTAGTTATTGTCACTGACGTTTTTCTCCTCGCTTTGCTGTCCCATGAGAATTTGCATTCATTGCCGGAAGTGGTATGAGGTGTCTTTTCACCGGAATCGACTCATGTAGTCATACAGCAGTCTCCTCTGCCCAGGTAATTTATTAAGTTATGTCTTTTTTATCTGTTTATTTATCACTTCGGCGGAGCGCGAAGTAAAGAATTCGTGCCACCCAGGAATGTCCCAAAGTTGCTTTTTTGGGGACAAGATTGGACAGCCAAAGTTTGTAGGTTGTCGGTTTTATTCGGCTATTAAACGAAGTGAGAGCCGAATTAGTTCGAGATATCTCGAGTTCATGTCGATTTCTTTGATTTATTCAAGGAAGAAAGAATTATTATTTTGGCCTGCCGGGGGTTTGAACCGACTCACCTGTGCGGCCCGTCAGGTCAGAAGAGACTCTAAGTTGAGTGATTAGGCGATGGCGCCAATGCGACCCAAGGAAATTTGTGATAGGAGAAATAGCTATGAAATTATGCACTTGTTTCGGGAAAAGATTGGGCACGCAAGGTCGTGACAATTTCGGCTTGTTACCTCGGCGGAACGCGAAATAAAGGCTTTGCGACGCTCAGGAATATTTCAAAGTTGTTTCTGAATGCCCCGAAATTACCACGGCCGATTAGTTCCAGATATCTTCGAGTTCTTTGATATCTATTATTCTGGCTAGAAATATTGACTGCAAAAGTGTTTTACAGAAAACATTGAAGCAATTTGGGCTAGTAGCTTCAAAGTACGAGCGAAAATCGAGATACAAGAGCAATTTTCATTGAGTCTAACTTCCCAGACGAGTTTCTCCGAAGTGCGTTTCAGTTTGACTTTATACCGTCGAAACCTTGTCTTTTTCCTCTGAAATCTAGCTTGTAATGTGTTTTATACCGTGGAAAACCCAAATTTATTAGTTTGCCGTCGATATCTAATTTCAGTTCAATACTACGGCCCGAAGTAAGCTTTTTTGTGTTGTTTTGTATTTTTTTTCTAAATCCAGCGGCCGAAATAATGCTAAATATGCTTTTCAATGGTCTTTTAAAAATAACACCACACAATAGGCCAAAGAGAAGAAGGAAAAAAGAAAGCACAAACTAGGGACCTTCACGACGATATTCACGGTGGTTTACCCATCCAGTTCCTAACCCCGCCTGACAGGGCTTAACTGGAGTGGCGCTACAAAAAACCTAGCCTTCGTGGCAGGCGCAAAAAGGGGAGGGGGAGTTAGAAAAGCGCGAAAGTGAGGAAATCCTCCTCCCTTTTTCTCTTCCTCCCTATCCCCTACCCCTTTCGACGCCTGCTACGCAGGTTACTAAAAAAAAACGAGTATCACGAGGGTTATTGCGAGATACGTATTTCTAGTTTATGTTGCGACGTTGTACATGAATTAACCTCGTTGTAGAGATTGTGCATTTTCAGCAAGTTTCGTAAGGCAGTGTACTGATGTCAGTTACTTACGTTGCTGGAGAGAAGGTGTATAGTTAACTGTGCATAAGGAAAGTGTTGTTGTAGAGGAAATAAAGGATGTGTAACTGAGATCTCGTCGTGCGCAATTTATTTATGACAGAAATTATAATCGAATTGGGTTATAGCCACGCGGTCACGCACCAAGCAGACTTCCGGTGGAGAAGTTAAGAAGTCTGTTACACAAAAGGACGAAAATAATGGTATTTGTATGGAAGGGTATCCGAATAAATATTATTTCTTACTATTCCTCGGCATTCACAACTTATCCACAACCACGACGCCGAAGTGTACGTTACCATAGCGTCTTGTTTTATTGTCATTGCTAATATACTTTTTTGGAACCTTCTTTCACGGATTCCGTATTCCGTTTACGTTTCCGGATTCCAGATTCCTCATTTTAGTGCTGCCGGACTGAATTGCACAAGCCCAAGCAGATTTGAAGATGAAAACAGAATTAAACGATCGTTCTGAAAATTCGACGGCTACTGTAGCATGTTTATACTCGAAAGACAGTGATCTCGAAAATAAGGTTAATTCTACTTAAAGCGCTTCTTTTTTCGGTAGGAGGAAATGTTATTATTGTCATTGGAGGAGATGACAACTACAAAAACGAAGACAAGGAAAAGCGATCAGTAATCTCTGTCTGGGCCCAAAGAGCTATGTCTGTACAGTTCAGCGAAGAATATTTGGATGGAAGAAAAAGCTTCATATTTTCCTGGGGTGAAAAACACCGACCAATTCACGAGGAAGCTCTAAAGCATTTTTTTGATCCAGGCAGGAATGGTGAAAGTTTTATATACCAGTTACCAACACAGAGAGACCCTACCTTGCAACCCGGACGAGTAAAACCCGTTGGCTCAATTACCAGCGGCTCTTCGGGAAATAAGCCCGCGATCTTCCCCTCGGGAGGGACCGAGAGTGCGGCAGAAATCGAGCCTATAACACCTGCTGAAGCCATTCCAGTAGAAGTGGAAGAGGAAAAATGCCCTTTAGATAGTCAGGAGAAAGGTACTTATTGTATTGTTACGTTTTGTTAATATTTTAGTTCCCGCTGGTTTCCATATGATAGTCTAATCGTCTCGATTGTCCCAGGCTTCTTAAATAATGTTCAGACGATAATGACGATAGTAATTGAAACACTACCCAGATGATCGCAAACGACCTGTACGACTGAGACGACCTCGATCCCATGGATAGAATATAACTGAGTTCTATTTGGACGATCTGGACAACCGTGTAAATTTTGAAGCGATCATATAGAAACGATCTCAGACGACGGAGGCGATCGGATAATCGATAGTCTCCCACACTAGCTCCCCTAAAAACGCCAGCGTGGGAGCCGGCTAGACGATCGAACGCTATGCCAGAAATCATTACTTTTATTACTCTAACAGTAATTGCTAAGGTCGAAAATGTTCGTACCTCCTGGATGATATTTGAAAAAAGTTCCATCACTTTCCGGCGACGGTCTTCCGAATTTGAGGAACTTGTCTAGCTTGTCTACGCCAAAAAATCGAGAGAAAAAATAGAGATGGCAAGCTTCGAGGTTCACTCTCCGATTAGAATCCACCATTATCTTTACCCTGTTCCAGAATTCCAGAAACATCGCTGACGACCATGCGCCCTTTTTGTCTTTGAGACAACCGAGACGATCATATATGATGAAACTTTCAATCATTCCAGTCGTTCGGACCGTCAAGACCTATTTTTAAATTGAGTGGGGCGAGCGATCGAGATGATCCGCGTGATCATATAGGAAACAGGCCTTACACAGGGTAAAAAGAAATTAAGTAATTTTGTTTTTTTTATTGCGGTTTATCCATAGAATAATTCTACTAATGGTTAGTGAATGGGCGAAAATTTCAGGGACCCAACTGTAACGTTATAGTCTTTTTCCAGTTTTAAAGCGGAGGGCGTGTGAAGTTTCTGACTCTTGTATGTACCAAGGAAAACTCAATGGTTACTTTTGGTTATTTTTTTCATCCTACCCCACCGACATAGTCCCTATTCCACGCCCGCACACGGGCTCCTTAAGATTAATCATTGACTTCTCATTTCTTAATTATCTTTTTTTTCTCGAAGCATTAGGTCGAGTAAACGCTTTTGGGGCGTCTTGTTTTTAAGTAGTTTGTGTCTTTAAGTAGTTTGTTTGTTTTAAAGTAGTTTGGTCTCAGTGTTCTCTTAGCGAGTAAGTGGTGACACATCACGGCTCAAATATTTTGGAGCAAGGCCGTTTATTCATTTGTAAACCGATATTGCTGACTATCAAGCTTTCTCCTGCATGTCAAACCTCCCCAAATATATAATCGGCATAGAGAACTAAAGTGATGACGTCATAAAAAATGAAATTTCTGAAATTATGGGATTTGTCAGGATATTCTGAAAGAACAATGTCCAAGACGCCTACTTGCCAAAAATGAGCATTTCGGGGCAAATTGTCTCTGAGATCGTAGCCCAGTTATACTCAGACAACTCCATACAAACCCTTCTAAAAAATTTAGAAGGGTTTGTATGGAGTTTTTCGATCATATAGAAACGATCTCAGACGACGGAGGCGATCGGATAATCGATAGTCTCCCACACTAGCTCCCCTAAAAACGCCAGCGTGGGAGCCGGCTAGACGATCGAACGCTATGCCAGAAATCATTACTTTCATTACTCTAACAGTAATTGCTAAGGTCGAAAAAAACCACTGGGCTACGATCTCAGAGACAATTTGCCCCTCAAATGCTCATTTTTAACAAGTAGGCCTCTTGGACATTGTTCTTTCAGAATATCCTGACAAATCCCATAATTTCAGAAATTTCATTTTTATGACGTCACACTTTAGTACTCTATTAGTGTCATAGTAAAAAAGTTAGATCTCTAGCTGCCCAATTTTGTAGTTTCTGAGGCCTAGTAGCTAGGATTGTACAGTAACTGTCCCAGGCAACGCTACAATAATTATGCTGAAGTGGGGTTGAACTGGAGAATTTAAAATAGATTGCAATGCTGTGTTTGGAACGTAATCTCTAACACGCTTCAAAGCCCCTTTTTGGCTAATTCCCTGATGTACGCACCAAGGGATTTCCTCTGAGTAACCTTGATGGGGTTTTGCTGGGGCTGTTTTGGCTTAAATTGTGCTCAAATGGCTCCACAAGGGGCCGAATCAGATGTTGGCCTGCTGCCGTAAATTTGCACTTTAGAGCTGAAACAGATCTTTTTAACAGTACAGTGTAATGTTCTCTAGCGAGAGGACAAATAATAAATTTCCTCTGATGGCTACTTGTCATGCATCTTTTCACTTTGAATGCCGTAAAATTCCGAAAATAAATGCTTTGTTTTACTTTGTATTTGAGGGCAATTTTCCAAGTACAAGCCCCCGGGGGGCTTATATTTGGAGGGGCGATTTAACGAAAGGTTTTTTGCGTTACAGGCTTGGGGGGCTTATATTTGGAGGGGCTTATTTCGGACTTTTACGGTGTCCATTCATATACATTCATTTTCGCTTGCCGTTATTCATCCTTTGTCCACTCTTTCTTATTTATCCTGACCTCACCTTGTCTCTGCTCGCTTCCTTTCCGTCTCTTAACTATCCCGATATTGCATTCACGTGAGAGGAGGCCGGAGCGTGACGTGACAACACAAATGGAACGGCTGTGTAGGAGACTAAAATCTAGTGTACACGGATCCGGACAAATTTTTGAACAGAGAAAAACTTGAACGGATCCTGGGATCCCCCTTTCATTTACAGGTGCAAGTTTGTGAAAGGGAAAGTTTTGTTGACTCGTGTGCAATCCTGAAATCTTTAAAAGAACTTTGTACACGGTTCGGTGTAAACGGGTTGCTCAGGTAAAAAAATTCGTCCATTTGAGCCGTGTAAACGGTGTAGTATCGTGGGCGACTCATCCAGGCCACTATCAGGCACGCTGTAAACTCTGGGACCATCTAAGGCTACTGGTTACCTATATCACGAGCTAGAGATGGCGGACATGTAATATAATATTCAGCTGTGTATCTATTATAAACGGAGTCTAACATGGACCTTCCCTTTCCCTTTCGATAGATGAAACAGGAAGTTCCGTTGTCCATTCTTCAGATGTGGAAGATGCCCACACCGAGCATGACCCTTTGAAGGCGAAACTGGTGCTTAAGAGCAAACTACACAACGGAAAGGTATCATTTGACCCAGACGATGTCCTATTTTTAAGCCCCGAATTTCTAAAAATCCCGGATGTCGTGACACAAAGTCTTCTGGAAACGTACAGACACACTGATGAGATTCAGCTGAGGGTCATATCAATCGAAAATGAACTTTTTGTTTACACTGGTGATCAAGGAATAGAGATGGCAGACAATGACCTACTCTTGTTAAAAACTCGTGTCCGCAAAGGTGTAGTATCTTTCCATGAAGATGACGTCAAGTTTCGATACTCGGGCTGGAAAGTCCCTGAGTACATACTTGAGGACTTAAAACAAAATGCGTCTACTGGGAAGCTATTTATTGTTTCTGACGAGAAAGGGAGCTTAAGATGCATTATTCAGAGCAAAGCAAAGAGAAGATCAAAGAGTGTAAAGGGTAGAGTTTTGGCCTTCTCTACGTCGGACAATTATTTGAACATATCTTTTTAAAATCACCCCACCATGTGTGTACATGCGACACGTGTCCTACATAATTTATACAACTTGTAAACCGTAATTTTTTTTTCAATATTAAGTGTCATTCCTACTGGAAATGTAACCACTGAGACTTTTGTAACTAGATGTTATTTATGCGATGCCTTAAGTTCAAAAGCTTTCATTGCTAAGTACTGATATAAAAATAATTGTCTATTGGTAAACTAAAAGTCACTGTCCAGCTTGATCGTAACTTCCTGGTGCGTTATGCGATGGTGGTTAATCACTTTCAGGAGTAGTTATTCGCAACCGGTTTGGATACAAATGTAATATGTCGTGTGACGTGTCGCTTGATTTTTTGTTTTGCTTTTTGCTGTTCGCTTTTTTTTTGTCGAAAAACTGTACATTGAAGACTGGCATGACCGGTCTGAGGTGTAGAGTCCTCACAGTGCATTTTGCCAAGTCCTTTCATAGGAAAACCAAAAGCCAAGGCTTAAATCACCGTATGAAAAAGCATAAAGCTTATGGGAACCTTCATTGTATTGTGGTATTGTATTCAATTAAAATAAAAGCATTATTGAAAATCACCTTTTTAAACCACACTGAGTTACAGCTTTTCTTCAGAAATTTAACGGAAGCTAGTCAGTAATGATCATTCTACATTCATGGGCGCCGTGCAAAGACATGTTAGCTGCGTGGCTACCTAAAGCTTCATTAAAGAGATCTTGTCTCAAAAACGAAAGAATCAGAAAAAAGATGCCCGTGTTTTTGTGGAATGCCGCACGCCTGGCAATATTGAGGCCCCGAGGGTAGATAATAATAATAACATAATTTATATAGCGCTAACTCCACTAATTGACCAAAGCGCTTAGATAGGGGGGGGGGGGAGGCGCTTTAGGCATTTTTGGTTGGGGATGTACCCCTAACACCCTGAAACCCTTAGCCTATACCAGAGCTAGTTGAGCTGAATTTTGCTACCCCATACTAGACTATTAACTCCCAAATCCCCCCATCCTAGAGTAGTTGTTTTCCAAACACTACTGAGATCACTAGCAAAGTCCAGCCAAAACAAACCGATTTGAGTTTTTTATATTTTTGAGTGACTATTCCAGGTTTCCTATTTAAGTCTAGAATAAGATCTTTAACCAACTGATTAGTTTCCTGGAAAATGATACCCTATTCTAGACCCAAACTCGCTTGTTTATATACCCTATCCCGGTGTAAACTGCATGAAAACCATACCCTTCGCAGCGGCACATACCTAAGTAGCCTATATATGGCAGTACCTTCCGCGTGTTGAGGAAGAGTCCCGTAGTTCGCGGCGTCACGTATCAATGCCAGAAAAACATGTTTTGACTCGTCACTCAACATAGACAACGTAGGACTGAAGAGGATCGTTACTTGACGAGATAAAAATTGTCCACAAGTCGATAACGTTCCAAAACACTTTTCAAAAAGTCTACAGTCAATATCTGACTTAAACAAGGCTTCTACGAATTGCTAACTAAAACAAAATACAGAGACGTTCTCGAAAAAAATTCGCCATTTTCTCAGAAGGATTACCTTCAGCCTGCATAACAGGCGTTCCTTTTTTTTGCGTATTCAGGCCTGCGAAGGTCAAGCACAAAGCTATATATCTTACAAGCACCAGACACGCGCGCGCGGCGGGAAAACTGGGGGTAAGGCGTGAAACAATAACACCTGTAATGCAGGCTGCACAGCTGAATGACAGGTCATCCATCAATGCGGGGGGCAAAGTGTCTTGGTTGACCCACATGATTAACAAAAACAATGTTTACGAACAAAAGCTGACCTTCCGAGAAAAAAAGGAAACTGCACTTTCTCAGAAAAGACTTCATTTACATAATATAAAGTGTTTCTTAGAATCAAAGTAGTTCCGCTATAAAAATGGTTGAGTGGAATATAATTTGAGTTCTGCCTGCGTAAAACTGTTATGTATAAACCGGAGAATCTTGACAAATGAATAAGCCACCAAAGACTGCCTAGTCGATAGGAATTTGACACGTCACTCTAGAACTGGAAGAAAAGGCCGATTTTAAAGGAGGAGATGTAAGCATCTGGTGAGGCTATATATTGCTTGTAGTGTAAGAATCTATATTTTTCGTATACCAGGTTCAGCTATTTATGTACCAGATGGTACGAATTGTCTTATTTAGTAACATTGCTTAAAAGTAAAGAGTTTTGGATAGGAGATTGGAAAAACATGTATCACTTTACCGAAGTGAAGACAAGGCAACCATGTTGTTTTCGATTGTTTGTTGACAATATCTTGACGGGGGTTGGGAGGGGAACAATGTGGGCATGGCAACCTTGACGTCAGCTGAAAGCTACAATTCCACACCGTCGCGGCGGAGACACTGAAATTGTCATTTTCTGTTACAGAAATGTCATCCAGATCTCGAGTTTGCGAAAAACTGAGCGTCCTTCTCTTGGCAAGCGAGTGGGGCTCCTCTCAAGGAGGCCCCTCTACAATGAATAGATCATTAGCCATATACTTGGCTAAGCAACCAAATGTAGCAGTTAGCTTCCTTGTTCCAAGCTGTAGTGAAGAAGACAAGAGAATGGCTCGTTACCACAAAGTTATGATATTTGAAGCACAACAACGGCCCGGGTTCGACCCAATTGACTGCTTGACATTCCCACGGAAGGACATAAACATTGACGTAGTCATTGGTCACGGTGTGAAACTTGGAAAACAAGCGCAGATAATTCGGGAAAGCCACAACTGTAAGTGGGTCCAAGTTGTGCATACAGCTCCCGAAGAGCTCGCCATGTTCAAAACATACTCTGGTGCAATCTCCAGAGGTGAAGCAAAGTATTCTACTGAAGTAAAACTGTGTGAAATGGCTGATGTTGTGGTAGCGGTAGGACCCAAATTGTTTGAAGTGTACTCAGCCTACTTTAGCTCATCCGAAAAATTTGTTTTCAATCTTACGCCAGGAATTTTTACAGAATTATGTCATTTAAAAAGATCGTCTCTGGATGGTAACAAGTTTCGGATATTAGTATTTGGGCGTGGCGACTCTGAAGATTTCGAGCTCAAAGGATTCGACATCGCTGCTCAAGCAGTCGCTGCATTGAAGGACAAAAGTTATCATCTCATCTTCGTTGGTGCACAAAGCGGAAGCGAGGAGCATGTGGCAGAAAAGCTTCTTAAACTCGGTTTGTGCCGAAGTCAGCTCACGGTGAGGAAGTTTGTACAGAATCGTGAACACCTGGGCAAAATACTTTGCGAAGCAAATCTTGCCATTGTTCCTTCAAGGACGGAGGGGTTTGGTTTGACCGCCCTCGAGGCGCTTTCCGCTTGTCTGCCTTTCCTTGTAAGTCAGAACTCTGGATTTGGTGAAGCCTTAAGTACTGTATCAAATGGTTTGTCGTGTGTCGTTGACTCTGAAAATCCACAGCATTGGGCTGAGGCAATCAAGAACGTGCGACACAAGAGCAGGGAAATTAGGTACAAAGAATGCGAAACATTGCGAATGCATTATGATGAGAAATACAGCTGGGAAAAACAGTGTACTGAATTAGTGGACATAATTTTTACCAAAGCTCAAGGTAATGTATTTAACCTGTAGAAAAGCACTCATTGCTTACAATTTGCTTCAAATAATGTTGCTCATGTAATTGTACTATACATAGTACCCTTAAATCAAGCTCGAGAACTCCGTCCGGCCTAATCTAAGGAAAATGAACCGTATACACAGGAAAATAGTCTCAAAACTAGTGCATCTTCATGCCCTTCATCAATACTTCGCATTCGTGCGCCCCTTGATTGTTTTGCATCTTTACTAAATCGAACGAACAGCTTTCTTGGATTCTTTCGTTATAATCTGAATAGATGTATACAGGTATAAATAATGGCTACTTTAATTTCTAGACAAATCAGTCAATTGCTAACCAATAAGTTTTCTTTAAACATAAGGGTCAAGCGCTGCGAAAGTGGAATCAGAGTTAAATGAACTGTCACTTGCCCTTGCAAAAAAAAAGTGTTAAACCAAGAGGAGAGACCGCAGATTGGTACTATAGAGACTCTGAAGACTTCTTGTCTGAATCTTCGTGCTACGAGGCTGAAAAAGATAACAAATTATCTCCTCGCCATGACCCACCCAACAGAAAGCCGCCAGCCTGGCGAAACCAATTCATGAGTGAACACCCTATAGGTAAGTAGGATTACCATACGTCACCCCAATACCGCCTCAACACCATGATCACTGTACATGCGTCCTGCGTGGTAGTCAGAGACCAAGAAATGTATTGAACATGAAGTTCGATGAATAAAAAGATGTTTACCGACATTACATTGAATGACAAAAGACGGATATAAAGGCACCACTCACATATCAGTCCTCATAGCAAATAGGTTGTGACCAGAATAGATACCTTAAAATCAGGTTGGACACCTTATGTTTATTACACAACGCTATACTCGTCGTAGAGAACCATTTATGCCAATTTACTGGACACTTTTTTTAGAAAAGTGGGGAAATCAGAGTAAGAGACAGTTGTGAAAGGAAAAGAGTTGAATACAGGGTTTAGCACCGAAGTATAGTGATTAGGATTAAGCACATTTTTAAAGACGGTTAATAATCAATGCCATGTAAGGTACGTTAAAATAAACCGGTGTCGGCAGTTATGCCTTGATGGTGTAGAGGATACGCATCTGGATTACACATCAAATGATGAGCGTTCAAGTACTACATGCTACTAACTGTTTTCTTTCTATCATGTATTTTGAGTGAAGATGACAACCTGTTTTTGGAGTATCCATTCTAGTCACAACCATAGCAAATAACATCTCTGCTTAGATGACAGACGACCATTTACATCTTGACTTACTTGATCAATCAGGTCAATATAAACTACTGACAGCGTTGACTCTGAATGTGAGTACCACAAGAGAGAAGTGTCGAAAAGTCAGTCAGGACCATCCACACCCGGACCGGGGAATATTCACACTACTTATGAGATGTTATATTTTATAACTTTGTTTTGCTTATTACAGATAAAGAGGGAACTCCAACTTGTCATGTTGACTTTGAGCTAGCCTCCGGGAGAAACGCAAGGAAGACAAAGCACCAGCCAACTCGCTTTGTAATTCCCGAAAAGTGGCGTCAACGGCTTGCTCCCAACGAGACGTTAATGCTTAAGACTTAAATTTTAGGCGCAAAAGTCTCACTTGATCCAAAGCACGTTGAATTTAAACGTCCGAACTGGACGGTGCCTCGCTACATAATTGTCAATATTGAGCGCGAATATCCAATGGCGTGCACCGCAGACCTGTTTATTATTTCCGACCCCAATGGTAAGTTAAGGTACACGGTTGATATCCATGAGAGATACGTGGCGACGTTTTCCTATCTAGAACAACAACACTGAGAGATTCCCACCTTGACTTACAGTCACATGTATGTGCATTTTGACTGGTTACCAGCTCGGCCGTCTGGCTGGTTGCCCAAGTTTTGAGGTGTTTTCTAAGGGAGAGCCTAAATGGGGGTCAGCATAACAGCTTGTTTAACACTAGCCGTTCAGGCTATTCAACAAATGACAGTAAAAAGAAACCTGTAACAGAATAACTGAATAATAAGTCATAAGAAACACGAATTGAGACACCCATGAATTGGTATTTTTTATATATTTATGGCAATTTTATCATGGTGACATGCACGTCTAAAGTGTCGATTTATAGTTTACTTGTTATATTTACTACTTACAATGTAGTGTTCATAGTTAACTGTAATTTAATGTATAAACGTTACCTGGCTAACAATTTAGGGATTTGCAGTACTTATATGCCCCAGAAAACACTTAACAGCAAACCCCATGTATAGAACGGCCCTCTTCAGAATTATCATTCTTTGAACTCTAAAGGCATATTGTTACACCAAATTATTGGCAATGACGGTTTTCAATGCAACACACCGTTAAAACGTTGTTGTGACATATTGTTACGTTGTTTCAACATCATTATCCGAATACTAAAATCGCGGTTGAAAATCGTTTCGAGTAACATCACCTTACTTGACCTTCCTCTAGCTCTTAACGTCTTTCTACCTACAATCCTGGACAAAACGTTTGGGACACTTCGTGTTTTAGGTGAGGAAATGTAATTCAAGTTGACCCCCTCCCCCCTGAACACTGTTGGGTGTTTCAAGTCAAACACCTTTTACATATCTTGTACACTTTAAGGACCTCAACTTTGTTTAGGGGGGGCTGGGGAAAAATCTTGTTAAGGCCGTGTTTATCAGTGTGTATCGCAGGTTAGCTGCAAATTCCATACAAAACCAAGTGAAGAAGGGGAGGTGTCCCAAAACCTTTTGGCCAGGATCGTAGTTATGTTGATCACTGTCTCTTCTAAACTACCTGCAGGCGCAATTCCAACAGCTTGGGACGAACTCTGCCGGGCCAAAAGGACTCTTGGATAAAAAAGACTAACCACTTCGAGGCCAACGCTGTAAGCCTAATTTGATTTCCGAATTTAGATAGCAGACGGCGTTTTCTAACTTCTCCGCTCGTACAAATGTGTACTGCTCGCATCAATTAGAGACTGAAGTATTTTAGACCAGAAACGTCCTAATCTTAAAATTGGTAAGACAGCACAGCATTTTGTCTAGAAAGACGGGAATTGCTGGATACTATCAATGAAAATTCCTTACGTTTTGAGTTAAGTAGTGTTTTTGAGGATATATTAGGATTTTGTAATGAGTACTTACAGCAACCTATCTACGAGCTCTATAATCCAGGCTAGTTTTTTTTTAAACGAACAGAGCATTTTTAAAGCAAAAAATGAACTGATCGCCTGTTCATAAGTTTATCGTTAGTTGAATAAACTCATTTGGACTGCCAGTTCAAATAAAATCAAATGAAGAATGATCCTCACGCAATTTATGCAATTGCGTGAGAAGCCTGAAAAAAAAAATAAAAATAAGGACTGTAATCATTCATTATGACTGTAATCATAAATTATACATCTATCACAGATTAAATAATTTTACTATTTTTTTTGCGTGTATTTATTTATTGATTTGTTTTATTATTTTGTTCTTACTCTAGTTCTAGGGATTGGCTAATCAAACAAAGCCTAAAGTATAAAGTACTCTGCGGTTATAAGGAAAATCGTCAAAGCTCTAAATCAGAGAAAGCACTTGGTTAAAGACTAGTTAAACTCTGTTTTACCAACCACCCGTAAAGTTAAATGGTTTTCTATCTTGCGAACTGCTTTTCCGCGTGTTACCTTTTGGCGCACTGCAACAAAGCAATGGTCAATTAGAAAATACCACTCCTGCCCTCGAACGGGGTCAACCCCCCTTTACCAGAATTCACAGAATAAACCCTCCCGTTCTCTCAAGGGAAATAAACTCCCCGATAAAAGCCTTTCACCCTCTCACTCCCGAGGTTGCCATGCTCAAAATTAGACGACACTTCCACATTTGTTTAATTTAAGAATTTCCAAAGAGGTTACATTTGAATGGTAACACTACTATAAGGCCAAGATTTCGTCCGCAGACTCAGTAGAACCACTTTGTAAGACTCCATCATTTACTCTGGATCATGATCACTTTTAAGTGTCCGACAAAGGCTACTAGGCTAAGTCGGTATTTTACTCGTACTCCCTGACTAATCCATAACAAGCTTACTTACCACTCCAAGAAGAAGCCAGTTACTAATTAAAAACGAATATCATATTCAACTGAACTCTCGCTAAGACGAACAACCTAGAACTGGCACTAAGTGTCCGTCTAAGAGTGATGTCCGTCTAAAAGAGAGTAAACTAATATACAATTCATGTCAGATCCCGAGGGAAACAGTTAGTTTTGTTTTCCCGAGAAACCTGATGTTTCCCTCGACTTCGTCTCGGGAAGCTCTCGAGGGAAAACAAAACTAACTGGTTTCCCGAGGGACCTGACATTAAGTGCTTTGTTACATTTCTCGACTTTCACTTCAACAGCAACAAAAGAATAACCGGAGCGAACCAAAACAGTCTACTCGGTACTTATATCAAAACAAAGTTAATTCTTAAAACCACTGAATGAGTACTTTCCTTATATTATCTGCATCTTTTTCCTCCACTATACTAGCTGCTGTTTCTCTTCTGGGATGACTTTAAAAGTCATTGCTTTTTAGCTTAAGGCTTCGTGTTTGTGATCAAGTTGTCGTGTTCATTCACGAAAAAAAAAACTGGCAGTGTTTTTTCCGCCTTCTGTCGCACCACTTTCCACCATGCTTTGATCACGTGCTGTAATGTAGCCCGAGCGGGGTACATTGCTTAATTTATCACGATCGGGATACATTTGATTTTACTCAAGGCCACGTGACCAAGAATCAACCAAAGGCAGTCCCTGTTTAGTTGAGTGAAAGTCTAGGAATATAACAAAGGGAGTTAAAAGCCAGGGATCAACTCTGACCATAGTTAATTGGAATGGTTATGAAACCCGTCAGACTCCTTTGTTATATGTTTTTGTGGACCTGAAAGTGCACAACGTTCAAAAGAATTCCTATCATTTTGATTGTATTGACCAATAAAAACGTTGCATTAATTTATTCCGTAACAATTTGCCAACAGAAAACAAAGGATTGTGCACTTTCAGGGTGCTTCCAACATAAACTGCAGCACTGTTGTTTTTATAATTGATGTTTGCCGCTTTTCATAACCAGTCTCCTCTAATAACTATGCTCTGACCAACTCCTATTTACCGAGGTGTCCGTGTTATACAAGTGTCCCTTAAGAGATGGTCGACCGTGCATGACTAATTTTATTGTTCATAATCTTGGCGATGCAAATTATTTTCGGAATCAATCCTCCCCCCAAAACCTCTAGCTTCCTTGTTAATTGTCGACTAAATGTAATCCTTTTTTCTTAACCAAACCGCCCAAAACGAAGCCAATCATGGTTTATTAAAGAATTTATAACATTTTCAACTTGTCGAAGGTAACCTGACCAAGTATGAAAAACACTCATGATTCATGCAGCAAGTACCTAGCTAATTATTACAAAGCTGGCCAGGTTAACAACTGTCTATTTTCGCTCAAAATAATGTGCACTGCCATCTCCAAAACTGCCACAAAGGATACTTCAAGATATTAACGTTCTGAATAAGCCTGTTTTGACGAACTACCAATTCCACTTGTGCTTCGGGTGTTGACTTGTACCGATTTTGAAGGGATTGGCGTATTTCTTGAGGTGGGTACCAGTTTTCCTCCATTTTTTGCAGATCATCAACGTCATACGACAGTTCCCCATAGCGAAGCCGAGTGTCTAGGAGCACCGTGCCTTCTGGGTAATTCAATTGCGACCCTTCAGAAGACAAAATAAGAAAAGGAGGTTTTCAAATTTTTCTTTGAAGGGTTTGTGGAAGATAGATCCCTAAGACATCCCTCTACTCAATGTGTAGGTCCCTAATTGGACAGCTCGCCGAGACAGTTCAAGCCCAGAGCAATTTACCCAATCTCGTACCCAAATCTCATAGGCGTCTCTCTCTAGTTTCGGACCTACGACAGGACGCCATGTAACCCTCTATACTTACCCCCTGACGCATGCACAGCTGTCTCACTTTCCTTAACTCTATTCTGTTTCTTGTTATCCACTACTTCCGAAGCCCGGTTTTCATTAGATCTTTCTTCTAATTCGTTGATGATTTCAACCTGTTCCTGCGATAAAAAAGTAAAAACAATTCTAGGAGATCAAAACTCCAGGAAAAAGATCATTACCATTACAATTGTAACGCGCACAAAACACACAATTTTAACTACATAATTCGGGATCTGTAAATGACAGCTGAATAGCGCTAATACAAAATACTTGTTACCAAGGAGACAGAGGTGAGATTAAATACAAAATAATCCTCCCTGCACTTGTTTTCCTACTCGCTCAACTTTTTGGGGCATGAGAAAATTGTTTTAATTCGTCTCGGATCTTCAAGGTAATGCCGCCAAGAAAGTGAGTAATATTGGATACTATAAGCCCAGCAAAAACGCTAATTCTGTGACGGTAATGAACCATCATCATTGGCCTATCATCATTCGGATTTGCTGATGCATGTTACCTCACACACAAATACAAGAAAAAATGCCAAGTTTTATCTTACAACTTCAGAAACAAGACTTACAAAGTCATTAAATTGAGAAACTCATGTTGCTTGAAAAAGTAAAATTGAATC